CCTTCTTTGTTGTGTGATTCGCTGAAAACTCAGTCCCAGGTCCCCATGCTCATCCTCCTGCAACATAACGCTCTGTTTCCCTGTCTCTTCCTAGGCCCCTCACGTTTCTTTCGATAAAACTATTCGACTTCACTTTTCCTCATCTCCTCCTGAAATTCTTTTCTGCAAAAAACAGTGACTATTGGGAAACGCTGTTTTAATTCCTTCTTCCTTCCTTCCTTCCTTCCTTCCTTCCTTCCTTCCTTCCTTCCTCCTTCCTTCCTTCCTTCCTTCCTCCTTCCTTCCTTCCTTCGTTTGTTATTTTTATCTTCGGAGGAGGGGGGCTGGCAGGCGCTAACAAGATTGTCTTTACAGAAACTTACATAGAAAGATGTGAGGGGACAGGAAGTACATGTTCCAGAGGCAATGTTAAGCTAGGGACTATGGGTTCCCAAGTGGCAAGATGGTCAAAGACACGGACACGATCATGCTAAAGCAGTAGGAGTTTTATTCCAGTATACTGGGCTCAACTATATCACCCACAGAGTGGTCTCTCAATTACGAACCCGACTTCAGGGAACAAGCAGTTTATATAGTGTTGATTACATAAGCATACATGCCTTAATGTTTCAAAAAGAAATCTTACTTTGTCATCCAACCAAGGTGTTTTGGCAAGAGTCTAGGGTAACAGTTTTCAGGCAATAGTTAAACAAGAGTTTCCACTAGCAGTTTATGATTACCTATCCTACTTATTCTCTTAGCGTTAACAAAACGCAAGTCATGGGACATTGTGAGAATTGAGTGACTGAGCCCACTTGCTGAGCCAGGCATCTAACCCCATATCTTTTGTTTACATTCCAAGGTCTCAAAACCTGATTTTGGGAAAGGTTTCAGGACTCAGGCTCCTTCCAGTGGATGTGTCTCTTCTGTCACCAGCCCTTCAAATTCACTTTTTTGCTGTTTTTGTGTGTTTTCTTTATTGCCTCACACAAGGAACTGTGTGCCTCACTCAGGGGTTACTCCTGGCTCTGCACTCAGGAATTACACCTGGCAGTGCTCAGTGGACAGCATGAGATGATGGGCTGAGGTGACTGTGGGTTCGGGTCACACTGTGATGGTGTCCCCTGTAGCCTGGCCGGTGGGCATAGCCACGGAGTCGAAGGATTAGGGCTGTCCCCTATAGGCCCATCAGCTGCTGATCTGTAGCCAGAAGTTCCTGGACATGAGACAGAAACATCTCTCTAGACATTGGGGGTTCACTCAGACCCTTTTGAGGACAGAGATCTCCCACGCCCATCTCCTCTATAGCTGCTGATCTAGAGGAACAGAGGGGAAAGGAAGCAAGTGAGCCCCAACACTCAGCACTGCCAAGGGTCTCAGAAGGAGCATGGCCCGACCAATGTGAGTGTTCCCTGGTCCCCTGTCTCTTCTCACCAGCATCCTCTACAGCTCAGCAAGAAGCACCCTGAGGTGAGCTGGCCGCAGAGAGGGGCAGGGGTGACTTTGGCAGGGCTGAGTCAACACCCTCTTCTCAGCCTCTTGACTTGAGTTTTGACCTAGTTCTTGGATCTCCAATCATGATTCCCTCTAAAATTTCTTTTGTTTTTGCATACATAGATTTTCATTTCGTGGGAGGGTGGATAATAAGCCTGCATCTTCTAACTTTGGTCCAGAATCTCTCTAGGAGCAGGGTGCCCCCTACAGGAGAGAGGGGAGAAGCACATTGGGCTGAGCTGGGAAAGGAGGAAGGGAGAGATGAGGGGCTGCTTGGGAGCCAGGAATGCTTGGGGAGAGGGGTGGGGGGAGGGGTTAGGGAAAGAGTCAGAAGACTAGGCAGCAGGGATGGGATGATCTGAAGGAGAATTTTGAGGTCACATATATTGAGGCAGAGAGATGAACATGCTGTGTTTACATGTATAAGGATGGATCCTTGGTATAAATGTAGGGGGGCTCCTGTGCTCAGGAGAACTGAGTCCCCACCACAATCCTCCAGCCCCTCTGCCTGGGATTCCTCTGTGCCCGAGGCTCTGGTGCTGCTCATAACCTGCAGTGCTCTGGCCACACCTGACTTTGCTCCAGACCCTGTGATGCCCCTAAGGAAGAGGATCAGTGCACACCGAGCCTGCGCCCCAACCACGGTCCGTCTCCAGCACCCAGAATATTTCTAGAGTGTCCTGGGACGAGGCTACCCCTTGCCCCACACTCAGGCTCAGTGTATACTGGTCATTGTCACATGTAAGTGCTACCCCGAACCCATGAGCTGTGTCGAGCCACTCTGATGAGTGGCTTTTGTCCTGAACACCACAACTGTGTTGTTGACAGTCTCTATGAGCTTGTCTGAGAAGATGCTGTGAGCACACACACACACGCACTCACAAACATACATACACACTCGGGTCAATCCTTTAGTTGTGGTGCTGTAGTACATCTGGCCTTGCCCTTGCCAGGCAGCTGTCTTTGCCCCTCAACCATTTCCTCTTACCCCTGGAGTGTGGTTGGATTCTTCTCTCCCTTGACTGAAATACCCAATGCCACATACATCTGCTCTGTGTTCTCCTTTGCAATATTCTCTTTGGTCCCTTTTTAGAATGTTATTACCCTTTCTTTGATACTCTGAGTGCCCCTGAGAATCATCACTGTGTGACTTTGGGCCAGTCCTTTACTCTGTGACTTCAGTCTTCCCGCTGTGAGTGGGATCATCGGAGATTTATGAAGAGGGTTGCTAAGTGGCCAAGACCCAACAGCTCTTGTAGCATTCAGGTCCCGCTGTTAATGCCAGGTCGTCAAGGCCTCCGCTACTCTTGGGAGTACAGGGGCCGCCTCAGGGTTACTGCTGCTCTCCTCAGAACACTCAGCCCAGAGAACATCCTCTGTCTCCTGCATCATGTTGGGTTCCCACCTCTGCCAAGATCCGTTTCTACTCCAGAACCAACTCTCCCGGATGATACCTGGGCGATAACTGCAGTGTGAGCTTCATCTCTGGAGGAACAAATAGTCCCAGCCCTCATTCAGCAGATGAACCTGAGCGGCCGCTGGAGCTTAAGGGTCCCAGCACTGGGATAGGATTGTTTCCAGTACCTCCACATCCTCTGAACTCCGCGGCTCCTGATTGGCCAGCCCTGACCTAGACTCCGGGTACCCCCGTCTTTTCCACAGCTCCCCCTGTCGGCTTCCTCCGCGTGTAACAGCCCCAGGTCCGCGTGTCTGTCCTGAGTGTCCGCAGTGGACACCCACAGCTCCTCTTCCTCTGCTGCTACCCACCGGGCAGTGCCTTCTTTTCCCGTGGGTCCTGAACCTCCCCCAGCCCCTCCCGGCCTCTCTGCTCCCCGAGGTTCCACTGAAGAGATCATGGGTTAGGTAGTCCCTCCTGGGTGACGTCTGCGTGTGTCTGCATGGTGTCCAGAGCCTCATGCCAGTGACCCCCTGGTTCCTGCTGCACGTGGGAAGAAAGATTTTGCATGCGCTCGGTGTTTTGGTTGGTGTCATCGAAGCAGTGGGTGCTGCGATACTTCTGTAGCAGTTTGCACTGTAATACAGATCAGATTGTAGGAGGAATGTGGTAAGAACCTCGAACCCGACATCCGGCCTAGCCAAGGGGGTTGGATCTCGCTTCTGGCTCGATGGACTCTTGGGGCTCCTTTCAGGTAGTGCAGGTGGGAAGTCTAAGGCCATCTGGACCCCAGTGTCTGAGTTCGAAAGTTCCTATGGAGCCTCAGGCCACAGGGACAACTGGGGTGGGGGTGGGGTTGGGAAGGGTGCCTCTCAGGGAAAGGGCAGGAGCTGGGCTATGGTGGTGGCCTGGCTGGGACTTGTGTCCCTGTGACAAGGCAACCCGCTCTCTCGCCTCAGGGGACTCTCAGCCAACTCAGCCCAGGCCGCTGTCTGACAGCAGGAACATCCCCACCGGCCCAGGGCTGCCCACGCTGCCCCTTCCTGCTGGAAGACAGAGCTTTAATAAAGGGCTGGACTTCAGGGCCTGCATCTGTGTCCGTCTTTCTCTTGCAGGACACTGGCACTTCCACAGAAGCACGGGGACAGGCCCATCCCGCTGGGCAGGAACAGGACCGAGGGCCCGTGGCCGGCGCTGTGTGTCCGCGCGACCGTGACCTGGTGCGGCCCCAGTGCCCGCTGCTCCCTTTGACCCCGCACGCTGTGCCCGTTTGATCTGCTCTCCTTCTCTCCTGTCTCTCCCGTCTCTTCTCTATGCTCCCCCTGCTGCCGCCCGGTGCTCCTGCTTCTCCCCACGCGGTCCTGCACAGGCCTTCCGGGTCTTTGTCCAACTGCCCCCGCCCACCTCCCACCCCCCCACTCACCCACAGGCTCCCGCGAGGTTCCCAAGTGAACGTGATTGGCTGAGCGTGTCCACGCAGCGCCCGCTGATTAGCTGCTGGTGGGTTAGCCTGGATAGGGGCAGGGTCAGTGTCCATCCGGGCGCCTGGAGAATATTTAGCTGGACGTCGGGACTTTACCCTCGAGAGAATCCTGGTGTGACTTACTTACTGGTGGCAGAAAAGCGTCTCTTCTAAGAGGAGTTTCCACGTCCCACCTTGTTTGCACACTAAAACTTTTCTTCTCTCTTTTCCTTCTCCTTCTCGTTCTTCTTCTCGTTCTCCTTATTCTTCTCCTCCTCCTCCTTCTCTTTCTCCTCCTCCTCCTCCTCCTCCATCACCTCCTCTTCCTCCTCCATCACCTCCTCCTCCTCCTCCCCTCCTTCTCCTCCTCCTCCTCCTCCTCCTTCTTGATATCTGCTAGGAGGGAAAGCGACTTTGGTAAGTGTGCGAAAATTGTGCCGTTAGAAATGGCGGGTTCGGGCGGGCAGGAGAGAGTGTCCGGGTGAGTCGCTGCTGTGGCAGGGTCAGCAGTGAGTTGGCCGTGGCTCCAGCTGATATTCAAGGCCTCAGAGAAGCTCTGGGGTTGGCCTCTAACGCCTCGGACACCATCGTTCCCGGAACCAAGGGTCTGCGCGGCACCACGTCCTGGGCCAGGGGCATTGCCTGAGACCCCACAGTCACACGACCCCCATGGGGCAGTTCAGTGAGTGGGGACTGTGGGGACGTTCCTAGGGGTGATGGTGCCGGAGCTGCTTGGCCTGGGTGCAGCAAGATGGCGGCTCAGGGAGGACCCCCATCCCCCACCTATGTCCCTGCTCTGTGTCAATGGGACACACTGGGATGGGCCCAGAAAGATGATCCAAGGGGTAGAGTCAGGAGAGCGGGCCCTGCCCCTACACCGAACAGGGCGTCCTTCTTTGGTTCTTGCACCCCGCAGTCCCCCCTCAGCTGCTCTGCTCCTGCCTCAGAAACAGGATCCCCCTGACCTGCCCCAGCACCCCTGAAAGCTCCTACTGAAACTTTGCAACCAGCTGGCAGAAGGAAGAGTGAGTGACCCCAAGTCTCCAAATGCAGGAGGCGGATCTGGGCTGTGACGGCCCAGAGCTGAGGGACTTGACCCTTGGGGAGTCTAGAACCTTCGCTATAGACAAACAGCAACTTCTGGAAACCCATCATAAGTGGGAGCTCAAAGTGTCCTGGTTTCCAGAACCATCAATTAAAAGTGCCAGAAGTGAGCCTCAGGCTAGACCTCCTCAACATGCTCGGGCACAGGAAGTGCTTCCTCTCCCCATTGCCCTGCCTCCCTCACACTAGGGTCCAACTGTTTGCACCCAGGAAAGGCACCTTAGAAGGTGTGCTCCGAGCCTGGGATGTGGGGTCGTTTTTATTGTGGAAGTTGTGATCCCACTGTATGAGGGCCTGCTCCCAGCAGTGCTCAGGGCCACCCAGGGCCCAGGATTGACTCAGAGCCTTGAAGGGCTAACATAGCTGCCACCCCTGAGCTGGGCCTCTGGCCCCCATGTGATGGGATATTTTTCTTTGGGTTTATGGGCCATGCCCAGTAGTGCTCGGGGCTCGGTGTTTGGGGGTGGATTGGAGGTGGGGAGAAACATGCGTGTCCCAGGGAGCATCCGGGGTTCCTGCATGTGTCCCCACCCACACCCCGCCCTTCTAGATAGTTTCCGATTTGCTTCCAGAGTCCAGACCTGCAGGGGTGCCCAAAGGCCTTTGGGGTCAGCACTTCCGCATGTCCTGGAGGGGTTCAAGGAATTTCATATGGCGTAGGACCTTCTCACTACCATATCATGGATGGATTTAATCTCTAAGCAATTCTGTGTTTTCACTTTGGGTTTTCTTTTTCTTGTCACTGTCCTTCGTGTGTCTTGTCACCCTTTGTGTGTTTCTTGTCATTTCCCCATCCTTCCTGGTCTGGAATCATTACAGACATTTCAACAAACAGCCTGATGCTGGGACCCACCCCCCACCCCCGCCTCTGAGTCTCCCACACTATAAATGCTGGTCACCTAAGGTGGACAGCTCTTGTCACAGATGAAGAACGGGTCCTTTCCTGGTTAAAGAGAGGTTGGGGTGAGGCAAAGGCAGAAAAGGGAAGTTGCTCTCAGGAACATGAGAAGGAGGGACTCAGCCCTTTCCCTAATAATCACTGGTTTGGAAATCTGTGCGTGGAGAGTGAAAGGCAGTCACAACAGGTCCGGAACCCAGCGCTGCACCCCTGCTCTGTCTCTCATTTCCATCTCACAGTCTTAATCCTCCAGGGAGACCCTGCCTCAGCCTGTTCACCAAGGGCAGGTCCCCTGCAGCTGTGAAGGCTGTGAAGGGATTCTGCTGTGGGGGTCAATCCTGTAGGGTTCAACTTGTGGGGGTCTCTGCTAGGGGGGAGTCTCTGCAGGAGGGTTCTCTGCTGTAGGGGGGGCATAGGAGAGAACTTGGGGTCTGGTGGGGTGTCACCTGAGAGCAGCCATCTCCCTCCTCACCAGGCAGGACTGAGTTTGGGTTTCCGCTGGGTCTGGGTGTGTGTTTCTGGGGTATAGGCCTGAGGGGTGAGGGCCTGGTCTCTCCTGACAACCGGGAAGCAGGCAGCTCTCTTTCCATGTGGGGTTCAAGTACACAGGCACCAGGGAACCCATCTGGTCCTCACCGAGCTGTCACTTCTTCACACCTTCACCCCAGAGCTAAGAAACGTCCCCATGGCCTGTGGGCTTAGGGACAACAGGTGCCTGTCCCTGAGAGAAAGAACGGGTGTCCCCTCTGTTGGTCACGGCGTGAGGGGCAGCCTGCGCCAGGGTCAGCTGTGCTCCTTACTGACAAGCTCGGCCAGTGATTTCATCAAAGAACCTTGTCACCTGCAGGCCTTGGGGTTCAACTGCTACTCCTCCAGTCCCTTGTGCCAGCCTCTGCCCCGCCGTCCCCTGCCCCACCCTCTCCCCTTCGTGCCCTGTTTCCTCCCTTCCCAATCCCTGAGGAAGCCCTGGTCCCAGCCTGAGGGCGGAGGTCTAGGCCTCTGCTCCATCTCGGGCTCCAGAACCAGCCATTTCCCTGCAGCAACCCCGCTCCGGAGTTCGGGCATAAGCCTGTGAGGGGGTCGGATAGGGGACCCTGGCGCATGTCTCTGAGGATGGGGTTGGGGCTCTGTTCCTCTGACCCTAGTTGTTCAGTGTCTCCACTCAGGTCCGGCAGGATTCTGCTGGGTCTGGGCCTCCTGCACCCTTCCTGTCTGCCGCCCTCCATACCACCCACGCACATGCTCTGCCTGAGCCCCGCTTTGCCTCCGCTCTGACTCACCCTCCTCCCCTGTACACTCTGACCTTGCACCCTGAAGTATCCTCTGTTTAACCCCTGAGTATCTGCATCTGCCTGTCACGACCTTGCCTGGGGGGAGCATAGCAGTTTTGGTGTCAACTTTAATGAGCCTCATTTATGACACAGGTACACCGGGGCACGGTTGAGGAAAAAGAAAACTCTGCAGTGCAACGAAGTCTGAACCACAGGCAGCGAATCTCACCGAGAGGAGAATGGCCTCAGTAAGTCTCCAGAGCCCCTTATTTTAACTTCAGAAACATGGCGCTGATCCTAGTGCAGGGTCGGGGTGCTCGCGCCATCTTTTTGCCGCCCTAATGTTGACACAAAGCCCTTGGGTCAAAGGTCTTCTTCCATCGTTTTTTTCCCCCTGAGTCTCAGTGGGCAGCGCCTCCCCACCCCCAGCAGCGCAGCCCCTGATCAGGGCACCTGGCTCAGCTGAGGCAGTGGCAGCAGGTATGGCAAGAGCAGGGGCTTCCCCAGAAATTCCTATGAAGGCGCCCCCATTCTGCAGGCACCAGGACACAGTCTCCCTGCTCCTGCTGCTCCCCAAGGGCACAGCCCCCCAAGCTCTCCAGCTCTCCTTGGGCACCCCTTCTGCCTCGTGCCTGGCCCAGATTGCAGCTGCCCCGGGCTGGCCCCTGTATGTGGGGGTCTCGGAGTGCGTGGAAGAAACACTCAGATACAGCCTCGGCGTCTCTACTGGGGGAGGGCTGAAAGGTTCCTGCACTTCCTGACCCTGAGTCCCCTCCACTGTGGGGGCAACTCTGACTCCCGGGAGTGAGGCCCATGTGGGCAGGGGCTGAGCTCATTTTCGCAGGCTGTCCTAGGGGTCGGAACACAAAGTCACCTGGGACCAGGAGATGGGGGGAACAATGGTCTGAGGGAGCGTCTAGACCTCCTGGTAACCAGGCCTCCCTCACTGACACAGACCTGCTCCCTGCAGGGAGGGGACTCTCACCCACCATGAACCCCTCCCTGTGTGTCCTCTGGGGACCCTGTCCCTCTGTCCCCATAGGCTCTATCCCTGTCCAGAAACTCCAGGAGAAGGTGGGCTTCTCTTTTGGTGAGGGGAGCTTCCACCTCTTCAATTCCTGCAGGGTAAATGGCCTTCATCTATGGTTGGGCTGGGGTCTGTGTAGGTATGGTGGTTGTAGAATGTTCTAGAACCTTCCCTGCACGTACTCACTTTTTTCTCTCTCTTTGTCTTTTACAGTTGATCGGTCCTGAGCCCAAACCTGGAGACATGATTGAGATGACCAGCGGTTGTTTCAAGCATTGGGCTGTGTGTGTGGGACCTAATTCTGTGGTCCATTTGACTGTCGACGGTAAAGACAGGGTCTCTGTAGAGGATGGGCTGAGGTGACTGTGGGTTTGATTCACACTGTGTGGGTCTCCGCTGCAGGCCTGGAGAGCAGGCACAGCACCGATGCCACATGACCAGGGCTGTCCCTTGTAGGTCCATTGGCTGTTGATCACCTGTAGACGGAAGTTCCTGGACAGGCTATGGACACGTCCCATTCGAAATTAGGGATCACCCTGTCCCTGTTGGGGACATAGTACTTCCCACACCCAATCTCCTCTGTAACTGCTTATCTAGGGGCTGGAAGGACAGAAAGCAGGGCTCTCCCAACACACTACCACGAGGCCACGGAACCTGCATGGCCCTGGTGATGGTGGGTGTCCCTGTGTCCCGTCTCTCCTCTGACCTACACCCTCTGAAGTTCAATGAGAAGCTCCCAGGGGTGGGCTGGCAAGAGAGCAGGTAGGGGTGGCCTTGGCAGGGTGAAGCCAGCCCCCTCTTTTTAGCATCTTGGCTTAGAGTTTTTACCTTGTTAGTGGATCCCCAATCAATATTTCCACATAAGGTTCTTTTGTTTTTGCATACATAGATTTTCATTTCCTGGGAGGGCAGGTAAGAAGCCCCCACGCTACTCCCTTTGGTCTAGAATCTCTCTAGGAGTAGCGCGCCCCCTACAGGAGAGACAAGGAGCACATTGGGCAGGTCAGGATGAGAAGAAGGGAGAGATGTGGGGATGCTTGGGAGCCTGGATGGTGGGGAGAGAGGGGAGTGGGGAGGGGTTAGGAAAATAGTCAGAAGACTATGCAGTAGATGATCTGAAGGGGAAATGTGAGGTCAGAAATATTGAGGCAGCAATGAAGACCAGGCTGTGTTTTTATGCATAAGAATGAATCCTTGGTATAAATTTCAGGGGGCCTTCTGGATCTGTGCCCAGGAGACCTGAGTCCTCCCCACAATTCTCCAGCCCCTCTGCTCCGGGGCACCTCTGGGCCCGAGGCTCTGGCGCTGCTCAGACCCTGCAGTGCTCTGGCCACACCCAGCTTTTGTCCAGACCATGTGGTGCCAATAAGGAACCCGGGTCAGTGCATGCCGAGCCTGCGCCCCAACCAACGGTTCATTTCCAGAACCCAGAATATTTCTAGGGTGTCCCGGGAGAGGCTATGGCTGCCTCATGAGGGGTGCAGACTCTACTGCTGGCCCCATGCCTTCTTGCCCAAACTCGCTGCCCATGGTCCTCTTGTGCCTGCAACTCCCCTGATGGCCAGGTGAAATCCCAGCAGGAGCCAATTCTCTCCTCTGGGCTCTCCTTGGACCTGACCCTCCTGTAGCCTGAGGGAGTCAGGCCTGACAGTGTGGAATTACCCTTTTGGTGAAACTCAATGGTGAAGGACAGTGGAATCCCCCTCCCGCACAGACAGCCCCTAGAGCAGCTGAGCCAGACACTGGCACCAGCCCAGCTGTTCTCCTGTGGTGTCTTTAGAAAGAATCGGGGAACTTGACCCTGGGGAATGTGGACATCTCCTGCCCTGGACCTTCCGCCTGGGCCTGCTGAGACCTCACAGGGTGGTGCTTGGTTGGTGACTGGACACAAGCTAGTTGGATGGTGGTCTGGGACGAGGAGCCAGTTTCGGCCACGTTGGCTCTGTGCCCGTGTCACCCAGCTTCATGTGACAGTTCCTGCAACATCCAGTCAGGGCATTTGAAGAACTCCCAGACTCTGCTTCAGTACCAGCAGTGAGTGGAGCCTGGCTCAGGGAGGAGGGCATGGCCGTGTGGGAGACCCAGTTTCCTCCCAGCTTCCCTCTGTCCCTTAGAAAAGAAATGAGGGGAAGAGAGTCTGGGGACTCCAAAGCCTTCACCAGAGATCGAGGTCCAGTGGGTCCCGTTGTGGGTTGGAGTTGGGGATGTCAGTCTTTCTGAGATCATCCCCTCTGTGGGGAATTATGGCATGGCTTGACTTACTCGGGCTGGTGGACTTCCTGGGGCAGTACAGGATTAATCCTGAGTCCTCTCTTGTGATCCCATAGAGTATGAGACTCAGGGTGTGGAATCGAGCATGGCAGCAAATGTCCAGGGCACCCGATTCATGGTGAAAAAAGAACATCTGGCCAAGGTGGCTGCGGGGTTCGAGTACTGGGTCAACAACAAACACGATGGTAAGCGCCGAGTGCGATCTCCTGAGAATATCGTCCAGATGGCCTTGGCGCTGGTTGGGAAGGAGTGGCCCTACAGACTCACCCAGGTGAACAGTGAGCACTTCGCCATAGAGCTGCGCTACGGGGAACCCATCTGTGAGCAGGTGCGTTCTCTGCCCGTGCCCTCATCCCAAGCAGTGTCCCCACTGACCATGCCTACCTGGACAGACATCTGGCCATGAGCCGGATAGACAGAGCCACTGTCCCCTCCCCAGATGTCACCATCAGGGTGGGAGGTGGAAGAGCACCAGCTCCTGATCTGAGACAGGGTGGAGCTGGACCCACTGATGAGAAGCAGGTTCTCTCTCCCACTACACAGATGGAAAAACATAGGCCCACAGTGTTCAAGGTATCGTCAACACTCTAGCCTTGCCCTATTGGTGGGATATGACTTCAGGGCACCTTCCACACAGACCCTGATGACCCTGGATGGGTAGGGGAGAGGCAGCTCAAAGTGGAGGCAATTTCACTTTGGCTTGAGCCTGACCGTGGCCAGGGAACCGAGAGCCCAGGGAATGGTGGCTGTGAGAATTGGGCAGAGGAGGGGCCAAGCTGTGGGTAAAGAGACAGAGCACATGCCTGGCATGCAGGAGACCCTGGGCTCCACCCGGGCACCTCAGGGGCAGGCAGAGCAATACTAGGTGTGGGCAGGAGAGAAAACAGGACTAGAGGAGTTGGGGGGAGTGTGACCCAGAAGAGGGTGCAGTTTGGGCCACAGGCCCTGCCCACAGCTCGGGCATCTCCTTGCCCATGCACAGGCTTAGTGTCTGCTGGTTAGTATCTCCTTCACTGGGCACAGTTTTCCCCCAGGGTCAGATCAGCAGCCTCCCCGTCTCTTCGGGAAAAGCTGACAGTGTTGAACTAAACCAACTACTCAGTCACTGACAAGGTCCGACTCCCAGTGGCCATCTCCAGGGGAATAGAGGCTGAGGGCGCCCCCTGGAGGTGGATCCTGTCTGCACAGAAGCAGCTCCCCTGGGTCCTCCGTGCTGATGTCCAGTATGCGGATCCTTTGAGATCCCTCAAGAGAGACACTCTAAGTGGGCAAAGGGACCCCTGTAAGGAGGTGGAAGACCCTGGAGAAAGGGGATGTGACCGAGGGAACCACACTTCTGGGAATGAGGAGCCCAGGAAGAAACTCAGGCAGTTACTGAGACTGTTCTGGGCAACCGGATGCCCAGGAGACGGCACAGCGCTGCCCAGCCCTGTGCTGTCTCAGGCCAATATGACAAACTGTGGTATGACAGTCTCTTGGAGTTCACCTGAAGGGGTGTTTTGGTCACACACACACACAGACACACACACACACACACACACACACACCTGGAGTGCACCAGAGGTCACCAAAGGCTGAACCTACAGCAGCGAATCTCACCGAGAAAAACAATGGTCTCGGAACATCTCCAAAGACACTTTTTTTTCCCATAATTTAATTTTTTTCTTCTTATATTTATTGATTCACTGTGGGAAAAGTTACTAAGCTTTCAGGTGTAAGTCCCAGTCATACAATGATCAAACACCTCTCCCATCACCAGTACTCATTTTTCACCACCAAGAACCCCAACCCCTCCCACCCTTCCTGTGAGACAGATGATTTCCACTTAACTCTTCTCTACATTGATTACATTCATTATTTTGACAAAAAATGTACCATTATTGTTTAGAGTCCCCCCCCAACAATCAGAATTGCTGAAAAAGCATTGTGAAATACTTTGTTTTCAATAGCTAGTTATGAGAATCATCTAATATTGTGTGGCAGCAATAGCGGCCTCGCGATTTTGGATTTCTACAAAGAGCCAGATAATTACGAGATTGGTTTCTGTGCGTCTGGTGTTATGGCTGTGCTGGATAGCCACTCATGGGGGCAACTTGTGATCTCAGTAGGGCGTGAAGGATGAGCCAGTACTGCCCCCCTTCCCATGAGACTGCAGTTGCCCCGTCAACGCCAGCTCATACCTGGCTTTCCAATAAGTTCTGAGGCGGTGGCCACCTTGCTGCCGGCCCTTTCCCTCCCAGGGAGCCATGGTACAGTAGTTTAACGCATGGTCCATTCACTTTTCTGCCACAAGCTGTTGGGCTCTGGATTAAGTCCTTTTGCCTCTGGAGCCATGGCCGTGCTGGAGAACCACTTGTGGGGGGCAACTCCTGACCTGGGTAGGGCATGAAGGATGAGCCGGTACAGCGCCCCCTTCCCATGAGACTGCAGTTGCCCCATCACCGCCAGCTCATACCTGGCTTTCCAATAAGCTATGAAGCAGCGGCCACCTTGTATGCAATCTGGATGCATTTCTGCTAAAAGCCGCTGGGTTTCAAAATTTGTTTTTGAGTCTCTGGGATCATGGCCATTAATTAGCTTGATCAGGAGCCAGAGAGGACATTTGTAGGCAGCGACTCGGGCGTCTCGTTGGGATGGGGAGGAAAGGGCCAGTTCCACCCCCATCTGGTGAGGCCCCACATGTCTCATCACTGCAGGCCCATACCTGACTGTCCAGTGGCCTCTGGAGGATGGCGGTTACTGGGCCGCCAAGGGGAACAGGCCTAGGCACGAAAACTATTCCCACCTGGGGTGGCCCAGCACCAGTAACCTACTGCAGGAACAGGACACATTTCTGCCAAAAGCCTTTGGGTTCTGAGATTCCTTTCTGAGTCTCTGGGATCATGGCCATTAAGCAGTTCAATCAGGAAGCAGAGAGGCCATACCTCCAATTATATAGCTAAGCCAGAGGTGGTTTGTGGGTGTGTCTCCCACATACCTAACTTTTGGCCGTTTGCTTTCTTGGAAAAGTTTTCCCCAAGTTTTTAGGGTCTGGCCAAAGACACAGCAGCAATTTTGGGGTATCTGAAAGTCTGACGGTGCCATCAGGCTGCTGATGCACTCGCCTCACAGGTACAGACTGACCTGCTGGAGGCACCATACCCCCAAGACACTTTATTTAAAAAGCAACAAATTCAGGCTAATTTGTACAGGGGCCGAGGTCCTCGCTCCATCTTTTTGCCGCCCCCAAATTGATCTGACCTCTGATCAAAGGCCTTAGTCCACCATTTCTCCCAAGGACTCAATGGATAGCGCAGCCCCTGCTTAGGGCACCCGGCTCAGCTGAGACAGTGGCAGCAGATGTGGCCAGACCCAGGGCACCCCCAGAGACTCCTGGAAAGGGGCCCCCATTCTGCAGGGAACCAGGGCATAGTCTCCCTGCTCCTGCCGCTCCACGGGGGCACAGCCCCTCAAGCTCTCCAGCTCCCGCTGGGCTCCCCCATCTGCCTCTTGCTTGGACACAGATTGCAGCTGCCTCCTGGCTGGCCTCTGTGATTGTGGGGGTCTCGGGGTGCACGGGGGAAAAACTCAGATACAGTCTCGGCGTCGCTCCTGGGAAATGGTCTTGCAAGCTCCTGACCCTGAGTCCCCTCCTCTGTGGGGGCAGCTCTGACTTCCGGGAGTGAGGCCCATGCGGGCAGGGGCTGAGCTCAGTATCCGCAGGCTGGCCTGGGGTTCGGAACACGAGGTCACCCAGGGCACAGCAGATGGGGGTGACAACAGCCTGGGGGAGCGACTAGACCTCCTGGTGCAGAGGCCTTCCTCACTGACACAGACCTGTTCCGTGCAGGGAGGGGGCTCGAGCCCACTGTGCATCCCTCCCTCTCAGCCTCTCTCCTGGCTCCTCTGGGGACCCTGTCACCTCTGTCTCCTCAGGCTCATTCCTAGCCCAGTAACCCCATCAGGGGGAGTTTTCTCTGGTGTGGGAGTCCCCTCCTCTCATTCATTACAGAGGAGAACAGTGGCAATCAGCAACTGACCTTGTTTCTTGCAGGTTTGGAGGATGTAGAATGTTCTAGTACTGTCCCTGTAAAGGACTCTCCTCTTTTTGTCTCTGTTTTTTGTCTGCAGAATAGAGTCGGTCCTGAGCCCAAACCTGGAGACCTGATTGAGATTTCCAACGGTGGTTTAGAGCACTGGGGCGTGTATATGGGAGATGATTATGTGGTCTCACTGGCTGGCATTGGTAAGGATGGGGTCTCTATAGAGGATGGGCTGAGGTGACTGTGGGTTCGGTTCACACTGTGCTGGTCTCCCTGCAGGCCGGGCCAGCAGGCACAGCACTGAGGCCGCATGACCAGGGCTGCCCCCTGTAGACCCATAAACTGCTGTTCTTCTGTAGTCAGAAGTTCTTGCACTGACTGGAAGGCTGTGGAGACGTTCAGTTAGAGGGTGGGGTTCACTCAGCCCCTGTCTCAGGACACAGCCCTCCCGTGCCCAGTCTCCTCTGTGGATGCTCATCTGCAGGGACAGGGGACAGGAAGTAGGGGCTCCCCCAAAACTCAGCACTTCCACAGGGTCATGGAAGGAGCAATGACCTGCTGACTCTGGGGTTAAGGACTCCCTTGGATTGTGCAGGGTTGACTCTGAGTTCTCTCTTGTGACCACATAGACACTAAGATTCTGTCTATGGAGAAGATCATGGAGATGGATGCCCTGGACATCAAAACCGTGGTGAAGAAGGTGTGCCTGAGAGTTTCAATGAGAAATTGCTTGTGGTGGATCAATAACAAACACGATGGTCAGCGCCAAGTGCAGTTTCGTGAGGACATCGTCCAAAATGCGTTAAAACTGGTGGGGCAGGAGTTGCCCTACAGCTTCACCAAGGAGAACTGTGAGCGCTTCGTCATGCAGCTGCGCTACGTAGACACCATCTCCGACCAGGTGCGTCCTCAACCATTGCCCCCGTCCCCTGCAGTGTCCCCACTCCCTGTGATGGACCAGACAGACATCCAGGCATGAGCCGGACAGACAGAAGCCACCGTCCCCCTTCTCAAATGTCACCGTCTGGGTGGGAGGTGGAGGGGCAACAGCATGGGCTCAGCACATGGGGCTGAGCTGGACCCACTACTCAGAAGCAAATTTTCTCACCCACTTCACAGATAGAGAAACTGAGGCCCACAGTGGTCCAGGTATCATCCACAGTCTAGCACTTGCCCTGCGGGTGGGATCTGACTCCAGGGAAGCTACCACAGAGGCCTGATACCATAGAGGGAGTCAGGGAGAGGCAGCCCCACAGTGGAGACCAGTTTCACATTGGCTTGAGCCTGACCCTGGCAGGGAGCCGAGTGCCAGGGAACAGGGGCTGTCAGGTTGGACAAAGGAGAGGCCAGGCTGTGGGTGAAGAGGTAGGGCACATGTCTGGCCTGTGGGATACCCTGGACTGCACCCCAGGCACTTCAGGGGCAGACAGAGCAATACAAGGTGTGAGCAGGAGAGAAAACAGGAGTGGAGGAGTTGGAGGGAGCCTGACCCGGCAGAGGAGGCAGTTTGGGCCACAGGCACTGCCCACAGCTTGGCTATCCCCTTGCCCTGCGCTCAGGCTCAGTGTCTGCCGGTCATGTACAGTCCAATGTGCACTATTGTCCACCAGGGTCAGGTGAGCCTCCCTGTCTCTTCGGGAAACGCTGACATTGTTGACCAAAAGCAACTTGTCAGTCACTGACAAATTCTGACTCCCAGTGGCCATCTCCAAAGGGAGAGAGGCTGAGGGCGCCCCCGGGAGGTGTGTCTTGTCTGCGCAGAGGCAGCTCCCCTGGGTCCTGCCTGCTGGTGTCCAGGATGCTTACCCCGACCCCTCACTAGGGACATTCTAAGTGGGCACGGGACCCCTATAAGGAGGAAGAAGGCCCTGGAGAATAGTTATGAGACCAATGGGAACCCACACCTTGGGGAATGAGGAGCCCAGGAAGGAGCCAGGCAGTTTCTGAGACTGTCCTGGGCACCCGAATGCCCAGGGGACAGCACAGTGCTGCCCCAGCCCGTGTGCTGTCTTGGGTTACTCTGAGGAACTGTGCTGATGACCGTCTCTAGCTCCTCTGAAGGAGTGTTGTGATCACACACACACATACATACACACACACACACACACACACACATCCTTGGAGTGTACCAAAGGTCACAAAGGGCTGTACCCAAAGCAGCGAATCTCACTGAGAGGAACAATGGTCTCACGAACTCTCCAGAGACTCTTTATATTAAGAGCAACAAAAGGGGGTTACTTTGTCCAGGAGCTGAGATGCACCCTCCGTCTTTCTGCCGCCCTGATATTGATTCTGACCCCTGGCCTTAGTCCATCATTTTTCCCAAGACCTCAGTGGGCAGCACAGGCCCTGCTCAGGGCACCCGGCTCAGCTGAGGCAGCGGCAGCAGGTGTGGCCAGACCCAGGGAACCCCCAGAGACTCCTGTCAAGGGGTTCCCATTCTGCAGTGGACCAGAGCACATTCTCCCAGCTCTTGCCACAACACAGGGGCACAGCCCCGCCCCCCAAGCTCTCCAGCTCCCCCTGGGATCCCCTGTCTGCCTCTTGCCTGGACCCAGATTGCAGCTGTCTCAGGCTCGCCCCTGTGATTGTGGGGGGAAGGGGGTGGGGGGGTCTCGGGTGTACGGGGGAAAACACTCAGATACAGTCTTGGTGTCTCTCCGAGGGAGAGGCTGACAGGCTCCTGCCCTTCCTGACCCTGGGTCCCCTCCTCTGTGTGGGCAGCTCTGACTCCCCGGAGTAAGGCCATGTGGGCAAGGGCTGAGCTTAGCTTCCTCACGGTGGTCTGGGGGTCAGAACATGAGGTCACCCGGGACCAGCAGATGGGGAGGACGATGGCCTGGGTGAGTATCTAGACCTCCTACCAGATACCAGACCAGACCTCAGTCGCTGACACAGACCTGCTCCGTGCAGGGAGGGGGCACCCGTCCACTGTGCACCCCTCCCTGGGAGCCCCTCTCATGGCTCCTCTGGGGACCCTGTCCCCCTCTCCCCAGCTCCGAAACCTCAGGACAGGGGATCTCTTCTCTCCTGGTGATGGAGTCCCCTCCACCCATTTGCTGCAGAGAACAGCAGGATTCAGCAACTGACCTTGCTCCTAGCAGGTCTGGAAGATATAGAATGTTCTAGAACCGTCCCTGTAAAGGACTCTCCTCTTTTTGTCTCTGTTTTTTGTCTGCAGAATAGAGTCGGTCCTGAGCCCAAACCTGGAGACCTGATTGAGATTTCCAACGGTGGTTTAGAGCACTGGGGCGTGTATATGGGAGATGATTATGTGGTCTCACTGGCTGGCATTGGTAAGGATGGGGTCTCTATAGAGGATGGGCTGAGGTGACTGTGGGTTCGGTTCACACTGTGCTGGTCTCCCTGCAGGCCGGGCCAGCAGGCACAGCACTGAGGCCGCATGACCAGGGCTGTCCACTGTAGGACCAACAACAGCTGATCTTCTGTAGCCAGAAGTTCCTAGACAGGCTGTGGACACGTCCATTTAGAGAGTGGGGAGTCAGTCATCACATGTTCTGGGGACACTGCCCTTCCCAAACCCACTGTCCTCTGTAGCTGCTGATCTGCAGGGACAGGGGACAGGAAGCAGGGGCTCCCTAACACTCAGCACTGCCACAGGGTCACAGAAGGCGCAATGCCCTGCTGACTCTGGGTGTCCCTGCATCTCTCTCTCCACTTAACTGGACACTCTGAAACTCAAGGAGAAGTGCCTAGGGGTGGGCTGGCAGTTGGATGATGGCCTGAGCCAGTTGCCAGTTTCGGCCAGCTTGGCTCTGTGCCGTGTCTCCCACCTTCATGAGACAATTCCAGCAACATCCACGTTGGGGCATTTAAAGGACTCCCAGGCTCTGCTTCAGAACCAGGAATGGGTGGGGAGGGGCTGGGTCAGGGAGGAGGGCATGTTCGTGTGGGAGACCAGGGTTCCGCACAGCTTCTCTCTGTCGCTTAGAAAAGAAATGAGGGGATGAGTCTCTGGGGACTCCAAAAGCTTTGACAGAGGTAGACCCAGTGGGCCCCGGTGTGAGTGGAGCAGACAGGTGTCAGCCCTTCTGGGGTCATCCCCTCTATGGGTCAGGGGTCCCGGGATGACTTCTTGGGCTGGTGGACTCCCTGTGATTGTGCAGGGTTAACCCCAAGTCCCCTCTTGTGATCCCACAGATACTAAGATTCCGACTGTGAAATCGACTTTGGCGGCGTCTGTCCAAGACACCCAATCCGTGGTGAAGAAGCAGCTGCTGTCGGAGGTGGTCATGGGGTGCATGTACCGGGTCAATAACAAACACGATGGTAAGCGCCGAGTGAGATCTCCTCAGAACATCGTCCAAATAGCCTCTGACCTGGTGGGGCAGGAGTGGCCCTACAGTTTCAGCGAGAAGAACTGTGAGCACTTTGCCACGGAGTTGCGCTACGGAGAACCCATCTCCGAAGAGGGTGTTCTCAACCATTGCCCCCGTCCACAGCATTTTCCACACTGATTGTTCTGGACTAACACTTCTCAGCATGAGCCTGACAGACACAGGACACTGTACCCCTTCCCAAATGTCACCATCTGGGTGGGAGGTGGAGGGGCACCAGCATGGACTAAGCACGTGGGGCTGAGCTGGACCCACTACTCAAAAGTAAATTTTCTCACCCACTTCACAGATAGAGAAACCAAGGCCCGCAGTTGTCCAGGTATCATCCACACTCTGGCACTTGCCCTGTAGTTGGGATCTGACTCCAGAGCAGCTTCCACAAAGGCCTTGATGTCTGTAGAGGGGTCAGGGAGAGGCAGCCCTGCAGTGGAGGTCAGTTTCACATTGGCTTGAGCCACACCTTTGGAAATAAGAAGCCCAGCAAGGAGCCAGCAGTTACTGAGACTGTTCTGGTCACCCGGCCGCCCAGGGGAAGGTGCACTATTGCCCCCAGTGCATGTACTGTCTCGGGACACTCTGAAGACCTGTGGCGCTGATCGTCTCTCTAAGCCCCTCTGAAGGGACTTTGATCACCTCTCTAAGGTGACGGGAGCCCCGTTCTTCTTACTTCCTGCAGATGGGCACACAAGGCTTCTCACCTGGGCCTATCTCCTTATATTTGTGGTGGATGGAGAATGCTCTAGAATGTTCCCTGTCAAAGACCCACCTCCCTCTGTCCCTTTTTCTTTTGCAGAGGATATTTTGTCGTAAGCCCATATTTGGAGACCTGATTGAGTTTTTCCGTGGTGGGAAATTCAACAATCACTCGCTGGAATATGACCACTGGGCCGTGTATGTGGGAGACAGTTACGTGGTCCATCTGACTAACCTAGGTAAGCACGGGGCCTCTCTTGAGGATGTGCTGACATGACTGTTGGTATGGGTGACACACTGTGCGGGTCCCCCTGTAGACCTGGCCATGGGAATAGCACTGAGGCCACAATGACAAGTGCTATTCCCTGATAGCCATCACCTGCTAATCTTCAGTAGCGAGAAATTCCAGAGGGGAGGTCTGAAGGAGAAAACTGAGGGTCAGAAAAATTGAGGCAGGTTGCAGTTTGGGTGTTTTTCCACACATACCCACAAATGAATCTGGGTGTAAACTTTAGGGAGTCTTCCGGAATAATCCTCAGGAAGCGTTGAGGTCCCACCATCAGTTCATGTCCTCCCTGTCCTGGGTTCCTCCCAGGATAGAGTCTGTGGTGCTCCTCAGGCCTTGCAGTGCTGGTGGTGCCTGTCCACACCCTGTATTGCTCGAAGACCAAGTGGCACCTGGATGGAATCCAGCCAGAGCATGCTAAGCAGCGCCCCTCCAAGGTCTCATCTCCAGAACCCAGAATATTACTAGGGTGTCCCACCACAGACCAGGCTGTCTCATGAGGGACACGAAGTCTACTGCTGAGCCCCAGTGTCTCCCTGCCCAACTCAGTGCCCAGGTTCCTCTCCTGCCTGCAGCCTCCCCTTCTGGCTGGGAGAGATGCTGGAGGGCCCGATGCTACCCTCGGAGTCTCCTGCACCCCTCCCTGCTCCTGCAGCTGGAAAAGCCGAAGCAGACACGGTGTTGAATTGCCCTTTGGTGATGATCAATGGTGAAGAACAGCCGAAACCACCCTCCCACACAGACACCCACTAGAGCAGCTGAACCAGACATTGGGCTACTGGGGGGGCTTTAGAAGAGAATCAGGAATTTGATAATACAGAGTTTGGACGGGCTGGTGCGATAGCACAATGGATAGGTAGTTTGCCTTGCACATGGCCAGCCCGCCGACCCAAGTTAGATTCCTCCACCCCGCTCAGAGAGCTTGGCAAGCTACCGAGAGTATCTCTCCCACGTGGCAGAAGCCTGGCAAGCTACCTGTGATATATTCGATATGCCAAACACAGTAACGACAAGTCTCACAATGTTACTGGGCATGCTCTAGCAAATATATGAACAACGGGAGGACAGTGCTTCAGTGCTACATTGCAGTTTGGACATCATCTGCCCTGGATTTTCCACCTTAGCCTGCTGAGGTCTCCCAGCTGGGGCTCAGGGCATTGCACGGGTGGTGACTGACCACAAGTAAGTGGGTGGTGCGCTGGGACCAGTAGCCAGCATCGGCCACCTGTGCTCATGTCACCCACCTTCCTGTGACAATTTCAGCAACATCTGTCTTGGGGCATTGTAAGAATTTCCGGGCTATCCTTCAGAACCTGCAGTGAATTGAGGCTTGGATCAGGGAGGAGGGCATGGCCAAGTGGGAGACCCAGGTTCCACCCAGCTCCGTCTGCCCCTTAGAAAAGATATAAGGGGAAGAGATTCCGGGGACTCTGAAGCCTTCGCCAGAGGCCCAGGTTCGGGGGACCCTATCTTGGGTAAGAGTCAGAAGGGGTAGACCTTCTGGGCTCATCCCTTCTGTGGGGACAGGGGCCATGGGGTGACCTAGTTGTGGGAGGGTGGACTCCGTGGGTTTGTGCAGGGTGACCACTGAGTCCTCTCCTGTGACCCACAGACTTTAGGAAATCAGGACCGAAGATTGTCATGTCTCTGTCAGACATGCTACCCAAAGCTGTGGTGAAGAAGGAGCTGCTGTCAGAGGTGGCAGCCGGCTGTGAGTTCCGGGTCAATAACAAGCATGACTGGATGCTCACAGCAAGGCCTCCTGCGGTGATTGCCCGAATGGCCTTGGCACTGGTGGGGAAGGAGAGGCCCTACAGCCACTTCGATCTGAATTGTGAAAAATTTGCCATGGAGCTCCGCTATGAAGTTTCCTCTCATGCTCAGGTGTGTCCCTTTTCCCAACCATGTCCCCATCCTAAGCCTTGTCCCATCTGATTTTACTGGCCAGGGGGTGATTGGGCATTACTGGACAGAGAGCCTCTGTGCACCCTCCAAAGTCACAGTTGGGGTGGGAGATGACGCGACACCAGCTCAGCTTCTTAAGATGAAGATGAAGCTGAGCTCTACTTATCTCTGGTGAGAAGCAGGTTCTATCACCCATTTCACGGATCGAGAAACTGAGGCTCACCGTGCTCAGCATCTGTTCACTCAGGCTAGAGGCTGCATGATAGATGGTATGTGATGCTATGCACCAGCCACAAAGGCCTGGACTTAACTGGAGGCGTCAGGGAGAGGCTACCCCACAGTGGAGGTGGAGCCTATTCTTAGGGGAGTCTGACACTTGACAGAGATCCTTGAACGCAGAGGATGGGGGCTGTGAGGATTGGGCAGAGGAGGGGCTGGGGGGTGGGTGAAGAGGCAGAGCACATGCCTGGCATACGGGAGATCCTGGGCTGTACCTGGGCACCTCAGGGGCACCAGAGCAATACTGAGTGTGGACAGGAGAGAAAACAGGAGTAGAGGAGTTGGAGGGGAGCGGTTTGGGTCCTGAGCATAGAGGCAGCTCCCCTTAGTCCTCCCTGCTGTTGTCCAACTACTGACCCCTAAGATCCCACACTGTGGACACCACAAAAGGGCATAGGGCTCCTTGTAAAGAGGAGGGGGACAAGGAAAAGGGGGGTTGTTTGTGCAGTGATGAGAAATTTTGGAAATGTGGAGCCCAGGATGGGGCTCAGCCAGTGACTGAGGATGTTTGGGTACCTGGATGTCCAGGGCATAGCACGGTGATGGCCCAACCTGTGTGATTTCTCACGTCACTCTGATGAATTGTGGTGCTGAAACTCCTGTGAGCTTGTCTGGTGGAGCTTCTTGTGAGCACACTCACTCACACATATACACACAGACACACACACACACACGCACATACAAAACGAGCACTGGGGCATAGGCCCCCTTTATTTGTGGTGCTGGAGCACATCAGGCCTCACCCTTGAGGCAACTGCCTTCACCCCTGAAACTTTTCCTTTTACAGCTGGAGTGGGGTTGGATTCTTCTCTCTCCTGAGTTAAATGCCCAGTGCAACCGACATCTGCTCTGTGTTTGCCTTACAATATTCTCTTTGGTCTGTGTTTGCAGTGTTTATTCCCTCTCGTTGAAGGCCGTTGTGGCCGTCTAACTGAGCATCTCAGAATCATCACGGAGTGGCTTTGGGTGAGTCTTTTAGACAGTGACTTCAGTTTTCCCCTGGTGAAATTGGTGAAGTAGGACACAGGAGATATATGAAGAAGATTGCTGGGCGGTCAGGCAACCTCAGGGTGACAGCTTCTCTGCTGAGCGTGCCCACACAGGGAACATCCTCTGTCCCTCCTGCACCAGGAAGGGTCCCCACTCCCGCCAGGATTCACTTCCTACTCCAGAATCCCCTTCCGGTGACACCCAGGGGATAATTACTGTGAAAGCTTCGCCTTTGGAGGAAAAAGCTGTATCGTGCCTCGTTAAGCAGATGAGCCTGAGCACTGGTGGGGGGTTGCACGGGGCTGAGCATCAGGATAGGATTGTTTTTCATACCTCATCATCCCTCTCTCTTCCCAGCTCCTGATGGCCAGCCCAGACCTAGACTTCCTGGCACTTCCCCTTCCCCACAGCGCCCCCTGTCAGTTTGCTCTGCCTGTGCCAGCCCCAGGCCCGCATGTCCCTCCTTAGTGTCCACAGCGGACACCCACAACTCTTCTCCCTCTCCTGCTCCCCGCTGGGCAGCGTCTCCTTCTCCCGAGTGTCCGGCCCCCTTGGGAGCCCCTCCAGGTCTCCCTGCTCCCCTGGGGTTCTGCTACAGAGGACACGGGTCAGCTGGTCCCTCCTGGGTGACCTCTGTGGGAATGTGTGTGATGTCAGAGCCCCAGATTATGACCCTCTTCATCCTGCTGCAGGAGGAGGATCCCCTTGAGGAGCTGGTTGATAGTCTTGGTATGGGAATCAGTGATGTTTGAGGGACTACGATGCGGGAAATGGAAAGAGGTAAGAACTTCGAACCCAACCGTCTGGCCTTGCCAAGGAGGTTGGGTCTGGCCTCTCGGTCACCCTGTTGGACCCTTTAGGGCTCATTTAAGGTTGTGCAGGTGGGGGCCCTGCAGCCCATCTGGACCCCAGTGTGTGATCCCTAATGTTTCTAGGGCTCCCTCCCAGGCCACAGGGATGGGGGCGCCTCCGGGGGGAAGGGTTCCAGCTGGGCCAGGAGAGCGGCCCTGGTGGAACTCGGATCCCTGTGACAAGGCGACCGCTCTCTCTCCTCAGGGGACTCTGAACTGACTAGGCCCAGGCCACTGTTGGGTAGCAGAAATGTCCCCACTGGCCCAATGCTACCCCCGCTGCCCCTCCCTGCTGGCAGACAGAGCTTTAATGAAGGGGTCGACTCCGGGGTCGGCGTCTTTGTCAGTGTTTCTCTTGCAGGATGTGGTTCCTTTCACAGACGCACCAGGACGGGCCCATTCCGATGGGCAGGAACAGGACGCAGGGCCCGTGGCCAGCGTTGTGTGTCCGAGCGGCTGTGACCCGGTGCGGCTTCTGGTGCCCGCTGCTCCTGCTCCCCCTGCAGGATGCGCCCGTTTTCTCAGTTCTCCCATCTCTCAGCTCTCCTCTGTAGCTCCCCCTGCTCCCGCCCAGGGCTTCTGCTTCTCCCCAAGGCGTCCTGCACAGGCCTCCTGGGGTCTCTGTCCCACGGCCCCCTCCCTCAACCCCCACTCTCCCGCAGGATGCCACCTGGTCCCTGGAGAACGTGATTGGCTGAACGTCATCACACCGAGCCCACTGATTGGCTACTCGTGGGTCAGGTGACCCTCTGCTGGGCTCTGAGGACAGAGCACAGGCCTGGGCTTCACCCCAACTGTCAGTGATGTTACCCTGAGGGGTGTGTGTGCTGCGAGCCCTGTGGGGGGCCCTGGCACGGGGCAGTCAGGTAGAGGCAAAGGCAGCGGTAGACTGAGCCCTTGGAGAGTAGCCGGAGTCGGGACTGTACCTCAGAGACATTCAGCGTTGCAGTTATTGATGGTGCATGTGTCTCTGCTCAGATGCAATCTATGAAATTACATCTTTATGATATTCTTATTATTTTATTATATTGGGCTGGAGGGATAGCTCAGTGGTAGGGCTTTTGCCTTGTGTACAGCTGGCCTGGCCGAGCCAGGTTCGATTCCTCCTCCCCTCTCAGAGAGCCTGGCAAGCTACCAAGTGTATCTCTCCCACGCGGTAAAGCCTGGCGAGCTCCGCATGACGTATTCAATATGCCAAACACAGTAAGAACAAGTCTCACGATGGAGATGTTACGGGTCCCGCTCGAGCAAACCGATGAATAACGGGAGGACTGTGACCGTGATATAATATATTATTATAATAGATAATTATATTAGCACAGTGGGTAGGGTGTTTGCTTTGCATGCGGCCAACCGTGCTGAACAGGTTCGATTCTTTCGACCCTCCTGGAGAGCCTGGCAAGCTTCCAAGAGTATCTCACAGGCTCCGCAAAGCCTGGCAGGCTACCGTGACCTATTGGATATGCCAAAGACAGTCACAACAAGCCTCACAATGGAGATGTGAAGGGGCCCTCTCGAGCAAATTGATGAACAATGGGAGGAGAGTCCTACAGTGCTAGTATATATAAAATATGTGTTATGTATTATATAGGACTGGAATGATAGCACAGCAGTAGGGCCTTGCAAGCCGCCAGCCGTGCCAAACCGGGTTCAATTCCTCCAACCCCTCTCAGAGAACCCGGCAAGCTACTGAGGGTATCTCTCCCACACGGTAAAGCCTGGCAAGCTACCTGTGATGTATTGATATGCCAGACACGGTAACAAGAAGTCTCACAATGGAGACCTTACTGGACCCGCTTGACCTAATTGATGAACAACAGGAAGAGAGTGACAGTGAGAGTGACATCTTTTCTAAAAGCTACCGAGTACTCCATTGTCTAGATGTACCAAAGTTTTTGTAACCAGTCATTTGTTTTCGGGCCCTCGGGTTTTTTCCAGATTTTGGCTATTGTGAATAGTGCAGCAATGAACGTAGAAGCACAGATGTCATTTCAACTGTACTTTTTTGCCTCTCGGGATATATTCCCAGGAGTGATAATGCTGGGTCAAATGGGAGCTCAATTTCTAATTTTTTGAGAATCGTCCATACTGTTGTCCAGAAGGGCTGAACCAGTGGACATTCCCACCAACAGTGAAGGAGTGTCCCTTTCTCGCCACATCCACGCCAGCATCGGTTGCTTTTGTTCTTTTGAATGTGGGCCAGTCTCTGAGGTGTGAGATGGTATCTCATTGTGGTTTTGATCTGCATCTCCCTGATGATTAATGATGTAGAGCATTTTCTCATGTGCTTTTTTGCCATTCGGATTTCTTCTTTGAGAAAGTTTCTATTCATTTCATCGCCCCATTTTTGGATGGGGTTGAATGTTTTCTTCTTGTGGAGTTCGACCAGTAATTTGGATATCCTTGATATCAACCCCTTGTCAGATGGGTATTGGGCAAATATCCTTTCCCATTCTGTAGACTATCTTTCTGTTTTGGTCACTGTTTCTTTTAAGTGGAGAAGCTTCTTAGTTCAAGATAGTCCCATTTGTCTATCTCTGTTTTCACTTGTTCAGTGGCATGTCATCTTTGTAGATACCGTTAGCTTCCATGTAGTGGAGGATTTTGCCTACCTTGCCTTCAACGTACCTTATGGATTGCAGTCTGATGTTGAGGTCTTTAGTCCATTTTGATCTTACTTTTGTACATGGTGTTTGGTAAAGAACTGAAACCATTTTTTTTTTTGCATGGAGCTGTACAGTTTTTCCAGGAAACTTTGTTAAAGAGGCTTTCCTTGCTCCACTTCACATTTCTTGCTCCCTTATCAAAGATTAGATGATCATATTTTTGGGGGGAGATGTCAGTATATTCAATGCTGTTCCATTTGTCTGCAGCTCTGCCTTGGTGCCAGTACCATGCTGTTTTAATTGTTACTGGTTTTTAGTAGAGTTTGAAGTTAGGGAGGTTGATTCCTCCCATTTGAAGAAGACCATTTTTTTTTGAGACACTGTGAGTGGGCCCTTACAAAACTGTTTATGAGTGGATTTGAGTCCAACGCCCATCCCTTCACCAGTGTACATTTCCTAGCACCAGTGTCCTCAGGTTCCTGATTCCCTTCCATCAGCCCATCCCAGCCCTTGCCTTCCTCTATGGCATTGTTTTTCTTGTTTTTCTTCTCTCTCTCTCTCTCTCTCTCTCTCTCTCTCTCTCTCTCTCTCTCTCTCTCCTCTCTTTCTCCTTATGGGCATTGTGGTTTGCAATATTGATACTGAAAGTTTACCAAGAATATCGCTTTGCCTATTTTTAACCCTCAGATCCTGTCCAGAGTGATCATTCCCAGCTATTATTGTCATACTGGTGGAAGAAGGCCATTTCCTACTGAGGAGTGACAGCAGTAGGTTCTGGTGGATTGTATCTGCCTTGTGTAAACTCCACAGCAACGTGGGCAGAACCCGGCCGAGCAGGTGCATTCAGAATACTGCCTCCCTGGTGAGTGACCAAGTTTAATGCAGTGACAATCCAGAGAACCAGCCAGCCCCTCGGTCCAAGTGGAGCCCACAGTGGTATCGGAGAGATGCCCCACACGAGGGAAGTCCAAGAGGAGATCACAGAGCAAACTCACTTAAGAGCACCAAAAGAAAGGGTGTTGGGATGATCTGCCCAGGATGGGAGATTCCTGCTGAAAGTAGTCTATGGACCAAACATGATTGCCACCCAATGTCTCTTCTGCAGACCACAGCAACCAAAAGAAGAGATAGAAGAAAAGGGAGTGCCCTGACACAGAGGCATGGTGGGATGGGGGATGGGGGGTGGGTGGGAGGGATACTGGGATTGGTGGGGGTGGAGAATGGGCACTGGTGGTGGCATGGGTACTCGATCATTGTATAACTGAAACCTTAGCATAACATGTTTCACTAATAAAAAAAATCTTTATTTCTAAAAAGTTTTGCCTTACAAGTATTAAGAGTTTAAAAACAAATCACTATAAAATAATACTCACTTACATATTTATACAAAGCCACAAAGATTTCAAAATTACAACTATAATTCAATTTTTCCAAAACCAACACATTTAAAGATCTGATGATATGTTGACATAAAATAATGTTTATAAAGTATATCTTTATTTTCGAGGGAGATCAATTATCTGAAAAAGCTCACCATTGTTCAGGATAATTTTTTTTCTTTCATAGAAGGGAAGTTATACTCAGATTTTACTCAGGTAGAAGCAGACTATAAAACTTAATTTTAAGAACCTTATAACAATTTGCATGTGCTACAATTGTATTCTCTGGGACTACTATCCTCGAGCTTTCTATGTACTCTATTGTATTCATTACGTTCTGGAACTTTTCTTCATTCCATTTCTGGAGCCATAGCACAGTGGGCAGGGCGTTTGCCTTGCAAGCTGCTGACCCGGGTTCGAATCCTCCGCCCCTCTCTGAGAGCTCGGCACGCTACCGAGAGTATCTCGTCTGCACGGCAAAGCCTGGCAAGCCCCTTGTGCCATATTCGATATGCCAAAAAGAGTAACAAGTCTCACCATTTGTTGTGAGACATTACTGGTGCCTGCAAATCCACAAACAGGAGGACAGTGCTACAGTGCTACAATAAAAGATGTCTCCACTCACTCTCTCTATTATTTAAAACACACATTTGTATCTTTATAATCACATTCTATATGTTTAATAGCCCACGTGAAAATTATTCAATGAAATCTCTTTAGTAACTTAGTACCAGTTTATTTTCCAAGGAGATTTGGAAAACGTTAAGGATGCACCTTAAAACAGTTACAGCTTCAGTTTTATCAGGCTGGAGTCTTCATTCCGTTTTCCAGAACTAGTTAACTTGCCTGAAAGAGGCCATTATTTAATCAAGAGAATAAACAAATACTTAAAAGAGAATGGTGGGGGAAGGGAGTATGGTGCCGCCAGCAGGTGAATGCACTGTGAGGCGAGTGCATCAGCAGCCTCATGGAGCCTTCAGACGCCAGATACCCCACAATTGTTGCTGTGGTCTCATAGTCCTCTACTTCCAGTCATCATTGTCATCCTTCTAGTTCTCATATTCTTGTCCTCAAAGTCCAAAGTCTCTTCTTTCCCCTTAGAGCATAGTTACATAGAATTCATGAAGGGTGGGGGTACACATAGGTGGGGTTGAACATTGTCATGACAACAAACAGAGGTAAAGTCAATCCATCAGGGGAAGTTCTAGGAGATCCACTCAAAGACAAGATTTCATCTGAGGGTTCATCACTCCAGATGACTAGAAGATCCTCTCAAGGGCAGGATTCCATCCAGGGTGTATTGCCTTCTCCTTTCCTCAGCCAGTAATCCATTTAAACAATCATAGTTAGTTTACTTCTTATAACATGTCTAATACTCTCGGTAGCTTGCCAGGCTCTCTGAGTGGGACGGAGGAATGGAACCTGGGTCGACTGTGTGCTAGGCCAATGCCCTACTTGCTGTGCTATTGCTCGGTCCCCCATGATCATTCTCTAATTGAGTGTACCTATGGGGCTTAACTTGTCCGCTTTCAATGCCAGGGTAGCTTATAGCTTGCCATGGGTCCATCTGGTTCCTTCTTCAGGACCCTGCTTTTGGAGTGCTAGGAACTAAGGGTAACTGAGGCTTAAGTCAAGTTATTATGGATGCCCAGGAGTAAGTATTACTTTGGAGTCAACTAACTCCGATGTTGCAAAGCATAGTATCAACTGCCTTCCTGTGTCTAGACAAGAAGGACATTACAAATAAACCATGCAAGTGACATAAAGGAAAGAGAAAGCAACATAGGATGATTAGTGCTGATGGAGTTGGATGTGCCTCAGGGGCACTATCTTGGGAGTAACGCAACCTAAGTTCCTTGCAGGAGGAGCAAGGACAACCCATCGACCAGCTATCCAACAAATTTCAGATACCAGATAAAGAGAAGATTTCAACTGCTGATGTCTATAAAAACACCTATAAGAACTTTCTTGGATTTCATTTCAAAAGTTCTGTACTTCTGTGAGTTTCAAGAAGTGTGGGTGGGGGTGGCGACATGTGCGTTGGGTGGCCAAGAGCCCCTCCCCAGACCAGTCAATGGCAACTGTAGGGAACCGGGCTCGTTGATAATCAGGGACCATCTATTTCTCTTTTCTCTTACACCTTCATTCTCCCTACTCTCTTACAGTTTAGTTACTTCTTCCCCTGACAGTTAGATTTCCCTCCCTTTGCGGTGTTATTATTTTCTTCCCCCCATTGTCACTGTCACTGTCCTCCCGTCATTCATCGATTTGCCTGAGCGGGCCCAGTAACATCTCCATTGGAGACTTTGTTGTTACTGTGTTTGGCATATCGAATACATCACGGGGATCTTGCCAGGCTCTGCCGTGCGGGTGAAATATTCTCGGTAGCTTGCCGGTCTCTCCGAGAGGGGCAGAGGACTAGAACTCGGGTCGGCCATGTTGACTGCATGCACTGCAAACGCCCTACCGCTATGCTATCGCTCCAGCCCCATTATACTGTCATTATTTTTACTTCTTCCTTTATAGTGTCGTTATTTTCTTCCCCATTACAGTGTCTGTATTGACTTCTCCCTCCCTCCTTACAGCATGGTTATATAGAAATTGTGAAGGAATTGAGCTACACATAGGTGGGGTAGAATATTGTCCTAACAACAAACAGATGCCGAACCCCTCCGAGGAAGTTCTAGGCGGTTAACTCAAGGACAAATTCCCCCTCCCCACCCCCCGAGGGTTCAGCAATCTAGATTATTAGGAGATCCGCTCAAGGCCACAATTCCATCTGGGGTTTCTTGCTCTCTTTTTCTTAGCTAATAATCTGTTCAAACAATCCTAGTGAATTTACTTGTTACTCAAGATTTCTAGTCGTTTTGTATGAACACAGTAAGAGATACATTAAGCTGAAATGTTGACTTTTCCTGGGTACATTTCACTGTATATCCCAGACTACAGTCCTCAGGCCAGGTCAGTCTTTCCTAACCCCAGCAGGGTCCTTATCAGTTTCTTCTTGTTGGGTCATGACAGAATTTGTTCCATGACCATACTCTTAACTTATTATACTTATGGAGATTCGCTTGTCTCATTTCATTGCCAGGGTAGCTTTTGCCTGCCCTGGGTCCATCCTTATCATTGCTAGGACCCTCTTTTATGGGAGTGCTAGGAAATAAGGGCAACTGAGGCTTAAGTCAGGTAAATATGATAGATCCCGGGAATAAATATCATAAAGAGTCAATTAACTCCCGTGTTATAAGAGCTTAACATCACTGTCTTCCTGTGTCTATACAAATATATAATATATATATATATATATCTCCTCAGGATCACTGTTGTCAGAGTAACTCAATGAAACTAAGTTCCTTGTGGGAGGAGCAAGGATAAGCCAATGTTGTGCAACACTTCTGCTTCAAGTTTTCTCCTTCACGTTTCAAAAATTAGGGGCCCTAGCATTAGCACATTGAGTCGTGTGTTTGCTTCACATGCATCTGAGCCCGGTTTGTTCCCTCGCATCCCAAAAAGGAAAAAAATGTTTCAAAAATCATACGTTCTGAATATGTATGTCTCTTATCTGTCTCCATGTTGGTTTCTATTTTATTTGCTTATTTCCACTCTGGAGAAGCCTGTGTCCTCTCTCAAACATAAACTCCTCCCTCAATCTTCCTTCACATTTTTCTATCACTGTCACTGTCCTCCCATTGTTGATGGATTTGCTCGAGCAGGCCCAGTAACGTCTCCATTGAGAGAATTTTTGTTACTGTGTTTGGCATATGGAATACGTCACGGGTAGCTTGCCAGGCTTTGCCATGCGGGCGAGATACTCTCGGCACTTGTCGGGCTCTTCTAGAGGGTCGGAGGAATCAAACCCAGCTCGAATGGGCTGGCCGAGCACAAGGCAAATGCCCTACTGCTGTGCTATCTCTCCTACTATCGCTCCTACTATTTTTCTAAGTAAGATTAAATTCAGACTTGTTTTGCTTCACCACTTCTCTCCTCCTGAAATTATTTTCTTGTGAGGGGAAGATGACAGACCCAGAATGCCTGGGCCAGGGTTAGGACAGACTTTCAGAGGCCAGGTATTTTTCTGAGCACTGGAGGCTGAGGTGGGTTGAGCAGGGAGGTGAAGCACTCTTTTATCAAATCTACCTCCCTCACTCCCCACTTGATTGAGCCACAGGCAACAAAGGGATTGGTGTGGGGACATTGTGTGCCTGAAACTTAATCTTGAATAACTTTGGAAATTACATTATGTCAGCAAAAGAAAGAAATTTTAAATATTAATGACTGTCACTGTCACTGTCCTCCTGTTGTTCATCAATCTGATTGAGCGGGTACCAGTAACATCTCACAACAAATTGTGAGACTTGTTGTTACTGTTATTGGCATATTGAATACATCACGGGGGGCTTGCCAAGCTTTGCCATGCAGGCGAGATTCTCTCAGTAGCTTGCCGGGCTCTCCAAGAGGGACGGAGGAGTCGAACCCGGGTCAGCTGCATACAAGGCAAAAACACCTTACCCGCTGTGCTATCGCTCTGGCCATCAACAACATCTTGTTGTTGATGTGGGTGAGAGAAGTACCAAGGGAAGTAGATTTCCCGGGTGACTTTTGAGTCATATTGCAGGTCACTTGCTTTCTGGCTACCTTGCTGAGTGATACAGTGGAATTGGCTACAGTGGGGACCAAGCAAGGTAGCCCCAAGAAAAGAGTGCTGACCACGTTCCTGCTTGACCACCTGTCCAGAGGAAGTGTCTTCAAGTGTCAGGTCTAGCAACATCAG